TTTTTTAGCCGTTGTGTAGTTTGTATTGCCCTCGTCAACCGAACTTTTTCACAGTCTTCGGTGTCATGTACCCCGGCCAGTCAAGAATTAATTAATGCTGGATTGCTTCTCTTACTGAGGTGCTTCCGTGGTAAATGACGATAGCAGAGAAATAATTGCTCGCATATCCAAGGCTGGAGTAGCTTAAGCCGGACTGAAACACATTTGGTGCAGACGTGATGTTTCTTTCAAATTGTAAGCTCGCGTACACTGTACCAGCTCTGTTTTATGGTTACGATACCTTCGTCGTCTCGAAGTCCTCGATTGGCAATATTTACACAGTTGGGCGCGTGTTGGATGGAGCGAGCGTGTAAGCAACTCTGAGGTACGGTGCCATGTGATTGGTAATGATTCGGTGGATAATTAGTTTTACACATCGAATTCAGATTAGTCGGCTTTGCTGGTTAGGACACGTATTGCGTATGCCCAGCTATCATCTACCGAACCGCGTCTTATTCGCAGTTGTGGCTCCAGGTTGGAGGGAACCACGTGGAGGTCAGCAGATGACGTGGAAACGAGCCATGAAGAAATGCACAGAACGATTAGATAGACTCGGTGTTTTTTCCGTCTTCCACGCTAAGGTCCAAAAGACTCTTCAACTGGTTGGTTGGAGACACTGAAGGACATGGCAACAAACCGACAGCGGTGGTGATCCTGCTATTATCTGTTATCAAGCCAAAATGCTTGCAACGGTATGTGTACACAGTTAGGTTATGCGCTCTGTCGATTGATGATAGGTCTTCACTGTCTGTTCCGCTCTTTCATTAGGCCGAATCGCTCTTCACCTCACACTTGATTTCTGTACATTGATAGCTTGGCAGCAATCAGCGCGGTTCACTTCCTTGTATCTCACTGTATGATAATGATGATGATGATTTTATACAATCAGCTGTTTGTTCTTCTTAGTTATCTTACCCCCCCCCCCAAAAAAAAAAGAACCTTTGTATTTTCCGCAAGCTTTGTATGCAATCATTCGGGCTGTCTACACCGAATCGTAGTGAAATCGTCATTAGCCTCACGGAAACTGTATTCTGTACAACTCAGTAAACTGTATCGCTTCCGATTTGGAACG